CTCATAGCCTTGTGGACTTCCTCTTTATTCGATTTACCATTTTATTTATCTAGGGTTTCTTCGTTGAACAATAATTCAAAAAGTGCAAAACTGTGAACACAACACGAATTCGTCCTGGAGACGAGGCTGTAGTAGCCCTAATACCTTTAACGCGTCTCATATACTTTAATTTAAATGGCTCACATAAAGGACTAACTTAGGCGAAAATACTGATTAGTACGCACAAAGTGATGTGTCCAAACTCATCCTGTAGTCCAAGGAGAAGCCCCTCGAAAGCGTTATCTGAATCACTGGCACTCGCTGAACCCGCACTTTGCGGGAGTCTTTTCGGAGCCCGTCGTGCAGCAGCGTGACACAGCGCTGGGTTATGGGCTTTCATTAAAGATAGCACAGTCTGTACATTAGCTCCAAGAGAGTGTGATTTTGTAGTCGACTATCACCAAAAAGAAAAAAAACCATAAAAGAGAAGATGAGAGAGAAAGAAATGTCACTCCGTTCGGTGTTATTATCCTTCCCATCCAAAGAACTAATTTCCACGCGACTTCTTCGAATTCCCACCATACTTGGATCTTAAAATGATCACTACATCAATACCAAATAAGTGTGCTTTTACGAAATTGGGTGTAATTTTTAAAAGTCTTCTCGACCATTTAGATGCTACACTAGATCCAAGCATAACTTGGTAACTCGCATTTTCCCGCGCTTGAGCCGTAGCTTTAAGTTCTCATTGGTTCCTTGCTGATCTCTGTTCTGATTGGCTATTCTGATCACTTTGCTCCCCATTTTTTTGGTCTAACCTAAGTTTTAAAGGAATTCAACATTGTCACATACCTGGCCGACGACAAATGGAATATTTCCTAAATTTAAATGGTAGTGATCCGAAGGTTTAACAGGCTGATTTGATTTTCTTGGTTTAGGTCTTGGAGGCTGAAATGAATATAACAACACTCGTCTACTTTACACATAGAAAAAAAAATTACAAGCTAAAATATGGAAAAAAAATTTTAACTATCACAAATAACGCAAGTGAGAGTTACCTTTCGCTTCTTTTTCTTTGGCTTTGTTCGTTGTGGCGAGGCCATGTTCATAAGTATTCTGTTAGTTTCTGCGACTGATTCCAGCTGGAAGAGAAACAAGTTTGCTTTTAATTTTGTACAGTGTGCTTTCTTGTGTTAGCTTTCTCGTGATCAGCTATCTCCTTTTCGAAGTCGCTATTTCTTGACCTAAAATCGTAAAATAGTCCCCCGAAAAAAAAAAAAAAAGAGGTTTTGGTCGCCGGAAAAATGGGGAAGGTAGGAGATCGCCGTAAACAGATCGCCAAATTGGCGATTTTCTCTCCAAATTTAGTCACCGATTATTTTCATCTCACGTCTAACCATTAGGCTACAGCTCCTCCATGATATGTTTAATTTTAGCATGTTGCAACTATGATTAGAGCGCTTTTCGATTGTGTGTCGTAAATCCAAAACAAAAGTAACCGCACCGGCTAATCAGAAGAGAGGAGAAAATCTTTGAAAGCCAATGAGCGCTCAAAGTAAAACCGACCAAACTGCCTAAAGCGCGGGAAAACGCGGGTAACCAATTTAGTCGTGATTGGTTTTAGTTTTGCATCTGATTGGTTGAGATGGTGGCTTAAGTTTTCTAGACCAATCACAGAGCAAAGTTAAACAAAACTACTGCTAATCCAGATTACTTTCTGTATCAACACATTGCTATAATGATGATTACTAACAACCTCTGCGGTTTTATTCTCCACCAGTTTTCTTTGATGGACCTCCTCTCTTAGTTGTTCTTCCAATTCCCTAATTTTACTCTGCAAATGAGATAAAACCATAGGTCAGACTTCTATTGCAGTGATAACAAAGAAATTTAATTGCACAACAATTTTTGAACATGGAACCATGTGAATTGTGCTGAGAAATGCAAGGGGAAATTAAAGGGAAATGGACAGTGAACACTCATAGAATATTCAGTCACAGCATCTTTTTGTTACACAGCAACTGTATATGCACAAGATGAAACCCATTCTGCCAACTCTGGATTGCCTGTTTTGACCTTACAGAAAGACACAAGTGAGTCAAGTCAATGGGTATTCTTTTTCTTTAACTTCTCAACAACTTTGCACTCTTTAAAGAAAAAAGACTTATACAGTTTGGGTAAGAACAAGACATGTCTATAGAAAGTTGAAACAAAGAAAACCATAAAAGAAAACAACAAATTTCCTATAAAAATACTGCATGCAATCATCTCCTGAGCAAGAAACATGGCAGATGTCTCTATACAGGCTTCCAAAAGCTCACCTCAGCTATAGAATGTGATGCAGTTAACTTCATGTGCTCCCTTTCAAGCCCAGCTAGTTTCTCAAACTGTCCTCTCATATCATCAGAAGTTTGCTGGGCAGCCTGTTTAGCAACCATTGCTGACCTTTGTAATGCCTGATCTCGGTCAGTTTCAGCAGTTTGAACCATCTTACGCATATAGTCTAACTGTTTCTCCAATAAATTACATCGAGCTTCTGCACCTTGAAGATCATCTTCTAACTCTAAAATATGTAGCAACAAACACATAAATGATTCAATTGAAGTACTGAAACAGAAGTTTTTATTTTTCTTAAAAATAATTTAATCAAGGCTTTTTGAAATTTATGAGGCAAATCTGTCCTGTACAATTGCTTCTGATGAGCAAATTTTCAACTACTCTGAATATTTGTGGCGTGAAACCTAGGGGGGCAAAGTTGATTTTTTTTTTCCTTCAAAATAATTCAATTTCCACACTTTCTTGTTCTGTAATTTCTAGTCATGAACTCTCATTTTTTCCTCATTGACTTATAGCCCCTGTGCCTTAAACTCTGGCCACACACATTAAAATGCCAAGAAAAAAACCAGTCTGCAACTTTCAGTACAGACCTCAGGTATTGAGAGGTACAGATGCTGGGTGTTAAATAAAGCTGTAACCTACGTTTATTTTGCTTTGAAATAACTCCTTGTGAAGACTCACGGACAGTGAGTTCTTTTTGCAGCACATCCTTGTAATGTCTTGATTCTGCAGCTAATTTCTTCAGATTATCTTCTGCATCTGCTCTCTCCAGCTCAAGTTTACGAATCTTTTCTTGCAGTCCCTTCAGGGCTGACACAACAGCTGTTTGAATAAAGTATGAAGTAAACAATTTATCAGCATTTAAAAAAAAGAAATAAATAAACATTAAAAGAAATAACTTGCTAATGACAATTTAACTCTTAACCATTTACTCCCAGATAAACATGTAAATTCTCTCTACAATATCCATACATTATCCAGCAAACAGGTAAGGAGATTACTCAAACTTAACCAGTAGAAGCTGGTATCTTGATCTAAGACCAAATTCTTGTAACTAATTAACTAGGAAATGTGTAGCAGCTAGGGGGAGAATTTAAAATCAGATCTTGGAATTTAAAGGGTTAAAGAGCATAAAAGGCTCTTGCAGTCAGCTTTACAGCTCACAAATACTTGCATATGCAGAATGTGGCAAGAGAAGACTTGATAGCAGTTGTCTGTCAGCAAATCCTGAGCAGGTTTGTGGCTCTTGCTTTCAAGTCATGCTCTCTCTAGGACTGGGACTGCTTGTAGTCTGTCTACAACATATATTTCAAACAAATGTTGTACACTGTCTAAAATGACTAAAACAACACATTTAATTTACCTCTGCTATTAGTCTGAGGAACAGTTCCTCTTGGAGATGCTCTAAGATTGTCATGGAAGGAAGAAACTGATCCACTTGCCCCTGGAAATGATGATGTGGAGCGGATGCTTGCTCTGTGAGGGGAGTCAACCCCAAAGCCTCTGTAACTGTACCCAGACATATATGGAGGAGTTGACTAAAATGAAGAGAGAAAAAGAAATAAGAAAGTATGTGAAAACTTGTTTCCAATAAAAAATAAAGTTATCTCCAACTTGTGCTAACGTTTGGTGCAATATCGTGCCAATATTGTGTGAACAAGTTAAACTACTTCTCCCAAATATCACAGACAACTATTTTGTGCTGTGTACTTTGAAGGCAAAAGGTTTTAAACCCATTAATTTCTAATCTGATCTAATGTACTGAACAGTTTGCAATATAATTTTGCGCAATGAATTGGCAACCTTTTTTGTGATGAAATGCAAATGACTAAATCTTGAAACCTAGAGAAAAAACTTTTCTAAATAACATATGATGTAGTTTTAGATGATTCCAGGTCAAAATAATGAAAAAATGGTTTTATTTGTAAGTATATTTGTTTGAAGATTATGATAGTGCTCCTTGAACAAAGGGAAAAAAGAAATTAAACTTATTTAAAATCAATTCGATGGTAAATTCATTTTAAACAACAACACGATGTGCAACTTAACGTGATTATCCACTTACGTGAAAGTGAGTATACCCAAAATTTATTAAAAATAGTAAGTCTTATTATCAACGCCATGCAGATAGCTAGCAGTTTCGAAAGATCAAAGGAAAATCGTGGAGGCAATTTCAAACTAAATCCTTGCGTTTGCGATGTCAAACTATGTAAAGTACGGTTGTCGATTAAAATTCTGCTCCACGCTCTCGTAATTTAGCACAACGGACTAAAATAACTTTTTAATTTAGCCCATTGGAAATGGTCATAAATCGACAAGATCAGCTCCACCACAATTTCTTTTCAGCAACGGATGTAGTGAAAATAAACAAACCAAGAGGAGTCAAAAGCCACATGCCGAGGATATGGAAGGACGCTGATCCCTCATGGTTAAATTCAGATTATTTTAAGAAAGTCTTACCGCGCCATCCCTGTAAGCCATGCTTCCTCAAGTATGGAAGTATTTTCTAACTTGATCGTATCCAGAATATGGCGAAAATTGACGAAAACTAACTCATTTTGTTTGACACTTTTCACCGACTCAACGCCACTAGAGCGTCCGTTGTCTAAAACGACATACTGCTGTCCGTGTGATTTACTGTGGGCTCACACATAATATTTTTCATAACCGTCAGGCCTGGATACTTAGTCAATGCGCCATGCTGGTTGTTCAGTATTAATCGTGAGGAAGTTCCATTATATAATGTTTGATGGAGATGGTCTGAAACATCCTGTGAATTAAAGTACCTGAAAATTAAAGAATGTGGAGAGCTAACCGTCACCTCCTTCCCCCGCAATGGAATAAGTTATCACGGCAGTGCAAATGGTAAGACAGATAGTTTTAACTATCGTATCTGTTAAAACATGCGTGCTGACTGCGCAATTTTTGATAAACATAAACTTCCCTCTTGCGTCACTTTTCTTATGGATACACATTTACCTCTACAAATCTTTGAATTATCGTCCACGGAGTCATTCAAGCCTTAACTGACCTCTCAATCGGCTTTTTGCTCATGCTGTTTTAACTGTGAATCAGCTGAACGTTAAGGAAAAATTTACTAAATTGGGCACAGATTTTTGTGCCCCTGCGCGCAAATTTACATCAATTTGTTATGTGATTATATGCCTATTCTCCCTATCGTTCTCCATACATTTCCTAAGGTGCTGACAAAGAGAATTTGGTTAACATTCAACAGCTTTAAATGGCGATCACATTCTTTATTCTCGTGACCAAAATACGTGATTCAGGGTAGATATTGTAGGGAGAAATTACATGCTTGTCACTCAAGGGGGGGTCAAAGGTTCAAATGTTTTCTAATTTTGTTGCAATAACAGGTCTGCTGTGAAGCGTGGTCTTTGTGCACTGAAAGAAGAGAGCAAGAAATGCAACTCTTTAGAGGCTGCAGGTAAGTTCTAGACCTGCTTGGAACACATGGTGATTTATAGTCCTGATGCAATATTATTGACTGAATTATTTCTTTGGACAGGTCAGCTGAAACCAGGTGACAGAATACATGGATATACAGTCAACAAGGTATTTTATGATTAACTAACATGGTCAAGTTCAGATGATACACACAATGGCCACAGTTTTCACGAAACTTTTCAAAAGTACAGTGATCAATTAACTAGATAAGGTGCATTTTCAAACCTCATTACAAACCTATTGAGTTTGTAGTAATAGTAATTCCCATCACCACATCATTACTAATTCATACAATTTTGCATGGTAGTAGCATGTATATTTGGATGATTTTCTGCCATGTTGAAAAGGTGATTAAAATTGGGATCAAACTAAACCAAAGTGACATAGTCACAGGGAGTAAGAAAGTGTTGCTAATATATTGTGAAATGACATTTCATGAAATTGAATTGAAGAAAGGCTTCACACCTTTGTTGTTACTCAATAATTAGGCCCTAGTTTTTGGAAAGGAGGATAACACTGTCCACTGGAAAAATTGCTGTTTACTAGATAGTGCAGCACACCTTGCCCAAGATATGAATAGCCATTTATCCGTTAGCTGGCATTATCTGCCCTCTGAATAGCTGGGCTAAGTTAAATTATAAATTTTCTTATCTTTATTTTCTCAGGTTGTGCCAGTACCTGAGCTGTTCCTAGTGTCTGTCCAACTGACACACAATAACACAGGAGCCCAGCATTTACATATTGCTAGAGATGATGCCAATAATGTTTTTGGGTACAAATGATAATGACTTACTAACTAAACAGTATTTTTGAAGTGTCAGTTTTTTTTTTATGAGTTGGGTTACCATTGCTAACTTCCATGTGGGTTTGGTAACTTTGCTTAGCTTTTCACTTGATTAGCTCTTACCAACGTGTTCCCTTGTTGTCCTCTTTGCCCATTAATAAATAAATATTATTCCAACTTTGTGTAGTGTGGTGTAGGACAGTCTAGCCAAGCCAAGCCAAGCCAAGCCAAGCAAAGCTTAACATTTTACACCACAGTATTAAACAAGATAATGTAGAGACTTAATGCATGTGCCAAAAAGGATTAAATTGAAATAAAGGTGCCTTCTGGGGACACATCTGAGAATAATATTCCTCTTCATTGCAGTGTTGCATTCAGAACTACTCCAATGGACAGCACAGGGGTTTCCCATATTCTGGAGCACACAGCTCTGTGTGGCTCACAGAGCTACCCAGTCAGGGATCCATTCTTCAAGATGCTTAACAGATCCCTCTCTACCTTCATGAATGCCTTCACAGGTAACAGAGTGTTGTAGAGAAAATTCTAAGAGATCCCCTCAGGATCTTAATAAATTACAATCTCAATGGCTGTTGCTCTTATACCATGAGACCTTCTGATACTTTATAACAAGGTAGGCAACTTACTAGGTTGGTATGTGGCATATGGCCCACACACAGCTAGGCTTGGACTATGGTGTGGAGCTGATGAGAGATGATAAATTTTGAGCCAAGTTATCATTTCAAATAAGATGTTATCACTGGGTTTTTTTGCTCAGGAGAAAAATGATAATTGTCAATTAACTCTAATGATTGGGTACTTTTTTAACATTCTGTAATTATATGTTAAAGCTCTCATGTTAAAATGAATCAACTGATGAACAACATGAAAACCTCTAGCCAGAGATATGGAAGGATTTACAGGCATTTCTCTTCCCATAACCTTTGGAAAGCAATCAATTTATGATTATAAACTAAAGTTAGTACTATTATTTGGGAGTGCACTGCATATTTCTTCTGGACACCTAAGTTTCCAAAAGCCAGACATGTGCAAAATGCATCACAAAGTTAATCTCCTGATTGATATGTTTGGGGAATTTTGCTTCATCATTATAAACTTTAATTTTGCATGATAATACTCAACCTCTTAACTGCAATAATCATGCAAGGAGGAGTGGAAATAAATTATGTAATACTGTAAGTGTCCTGTTAAATCTTTTCTCTCCTTTTCAGCCAGTGACTTCACCATGTATCCTTTCTCAACTCAAAACCCAAAAGACTTTGAGAATTTGCTCTCTGTTTACCTGGATGCAGCCTTCTTTCCACAACTAAGAGAGCAAGATTTCAGGTCAGTTTGACAGAAATTAAAGAAATAATGTTACTTTAAATTTGTAATTCCATATCTATGATTTTAAGGCAGTGGTTAATTGTGGTGCACACACCACTCAACCTTATCCCAGTTCCATAGCATGAAACAATGAGAAGTAGCTACTCTCCCCTTGGGAGAATTCTTGTCCTTTGCAGGTTAATAACAGCATTTCAATGGGTTTCTGTTTAGCTCACAGGTAATCATTTATATACCTGAGCGACAAGAGACACCGTGGGGTTGAAGTGTCCTTGATAGAGGTGACCTTGGCTTGGGCTTAATCCTGGAGGTTTTGT